AGATCGGCTTCCACATGAACTTGACATCGATCGAATGGGCAGGAGGCTTCTCAAACACCTCCAGAGCAACCTTCACTTCGATCGGGTCGCTGAACGGCGCCGGGTTGCTGCCGACAACAGAGACACCGCGTAGCACGACTCTTGTCGTCATCCCTCACGGCTGCCAAGAAACACGCACAAGAAAGGCGCTTCACGTAAATACTAGCAACGGGAGGAAAAGGGCGATACAAGAAGAGAGAAGACAAAAAAAAAACAGCACACTATGAGTCAGGGGTGCTGCGGCGGGAGCACCAAAGCGGCGGAGCGCAGCAACGCAAAACCCAAAAAGAAAACACAAGAATTTCCACACCAGCTTGGTGAAGCGGCCGTTCGAATACGGCACCCAACCGCAGCACTACAGCGAAAAGGGGGCGCTGGGTGTGAGCGAGCAATATGAGACCCGACTTGGTAGTGCGCTGTATGTATCGCAAGCTGAATTTGTAGAGAGGTAAGAATACATCCCTCCGGTCCGACGGATTGCACGCCAATCGCGTCACCTATCTTCACATCAAAAGATGAAGGAAGGGTACTGCCGATTTGTTTTTTTTTTTGTAAAGAAGCGCAATAGAACGCCTAGAGGCCATCACTCCCGCCAAGGCAGTCACACACGCAGGCATCCAAGGTGTGGGCGGCGGTGCCTCTTTGTTGGCACCCCAAAAACGCATGCCTTACTGCTTTTGGAAGCGCAATGAGCCCACTGCGCAACCCCCGCACGTGCTGCCGAGAGGAAACGTGCTCAGAAGCTTCTGTAGACTTAGAGCAACTCTTAGAAGTCCGGAAACTATTCCAGACAACACCTCGTCACCGTATCGTTGCCGCATAAGCCTCTGCAGACCATTCAGAGCCTTTACCTTTGGTCAGCCTCATGGTGCTAATTTATGAAGTGTCACTACGCCCCCCTCATGCACGACCTGAAAGAATTCCCACAGATGTTTCCCGCATGAAGTCAGAATTCAATGCTTTGCCTCAGTCAGCGCACTTACACCATGACGGTTCTCTGCACTCGACCCGTACAATCTTCTAATAGGCACTGTGTTCTGAACACTTCTAATCACACATGCCTTCATTTCATGCATAGAAAGTTGAAAGAAGGCGGGAAATAAAAAGCAATAACGGTCCAGTGATCGAGACTCATTGAAGCACAGAAGGAAGAAAGGCCGCATTTCCCAGAATAGTATTTCGATACTCGATATATATGACACAGAAAGCAAGACAAGTGTCGGTACAAGGTGACATGGACGGAGAGAGGGGAACTTACACTGTGGAGAGAGGAGAATACAAAAAAGAAAACTACGGTTGCACATGCTCGAGACTTCGCCACTCATCTATTAGTGCTCTCATTTTTTCTTCAAATTCCCCGATAAGCCGCGATCCGTCATTGTCGACGGCGTTCCTAATGCTATCATCAAGTGGCGCTCTGGTATCATACAGCGACGGCGGTGGGACATCATCCACAGCACCGCTCGCATCGTACCTGTCCAATCCTGTTTCGGGTGAGGGTGGAATCTGGCTTATGGTGTGTGACCGCGCTCTCTCCTGCTGCGGGGAGAGGCTGCTGTGGCGCCACTGGGAGCCCTCGAAAATCTCCACACTTCTTCGGCTTATACGGGGGTTGAAGGTGCACTCCTTCATCTCCTTCTCAAGAAGCTCGCGCTCCACCTCCTCCAACCTTTTCTGCCGCCGCGATAATAGGGCATCTCCACGTGAGAGAAACCCGTCCAGGTTCATCTTTGATTTCTTTTTTTTCGGGGGAGTGGTGGGTTGGGGATGTACTTCTTGTGGCTGTTCTCTGCGCGCCTTCCGGCTTTCCGCCATTTTCCGCGATGCTTCACTGATCTCCGGCGCGAAGGCATTTTCCCCTTTCGTCTGTTCCAGCAACGCCTGGTAGCGTTTCTGCCGCTCCTGTGCCTCAATATAGAGCGTCTCTGTCACTTCGGCTGCACTGCGGCCACTTTGGTCACCGCTCTTCGCCACCTCCGTCTTCCACGGGGATTTCGGCTTGAAGAACGACTGGCCTGTACAGCTGTCGATGAGCTCATCTTGCCTGCACTTCTTCACCAACTCGCGCAGTCGCCTCTGCCTCTCCATATTGTTGGCATATAGACGTTCACTGACGTCTGTGTCAGAATTCCCATGGCGTTGGGCGTTCAGGTTGATGTTTGGTCGAAACGTATGTGCTGGGATGAATCGGTTGGCCGCTGACCGCAGCGCGTATCTTGCGAAATGTGCCTCCCATGCACGAATCGGCCCTTCGTGTCCCGCACGCATGGCCATCTTCTCTGAGGCTTCGTTAATTGCGGGCGGCTGCAACTTCCGCAGCTCAGCTAACTCCGCCGCCTCTCGTAGCTGACGGATACGCTCCTCCCTCTCCGCCAGCCACTCTTGCTGCCGCTCAACAAAGCCATTTGAACAGGTGCTACCGCAACCCATACCCGCAGCTAGTGGCTGCTGCTGCTGCAACTGCTGCTCTTCCAACATTTCGCGCGCCACGCGATCGGCAGTCGCCTTCTTGTTCATATTTAACTGTCTTGCCTTTCGACGCAGCCTTTCCTCGTACAGGCGATCCCATGGAGTCTGATGTTCGTGCTGCCCCTTCAGAACGTATTCTGCCTCTTCCTCTTCAATAAGGCCCTGTTGGTGCTCTTCTCCCTCCTCCTCCTCCTCTTGCGAGACCATTATTGTCACGAGATCCGCCCCCGTTGCCATTGAAGACGCGGCGTGGCGTTCACCGTCCGCCTCCATAACTCTGCCGCAGTGTACCGTTCCACACTCAAGCCTACACTGCGAGAACGAAAATAAAACAAGAAAAAAAAAATAGATGATCCGAGGAGCGGCTCTCCCAAAAAATCAGCCACGGGGAAAAATACATGACAAGAGTGGGGTTTGAACCCACGCCTCCGGAGAGATGACGACCTGAACGTCACGTCTTAGACCACTCGACCATCTTGCCGCTGACGGACGGCGGTCAGTTTCGTCCTGCGGCCCCAACCCCCACCACCGCCGCCGCCGCCGGCCGCCACCACCACAAGTCATGCAGCAGGGCGATCAAAAGGCACAGCGCCACCGCGACGACGACTCGGCCATGCTCGCCAAATAAATATCTCCATTCCATGGGTGGAGACGCCTAGTATGCAGGTTCAAAAGGCAGAAAAAAGAAAACAAGAGGTGGAAAGAAGCACACACCAGAAGCGAGAGGGCCGAGGGATACAAATATCAGTCACCGAGGGAGACTCCGTACGGGGTGCTGATCTAATTTGTTGTGTATTATAAAGATCTCATTATAGTAAGTCTCTCTTAGGCCTATATATATATATATATATATACGCAGAATGAGAGTCATTTATAACGCCGGGGGCAAGTTTTTTCTTTTTTTCTTCCAGCCTTTATTCAAGCACGCACGCATCCCTCCACATACCCCGCGCGCACCAAATGCAGACACCCACATACACGCATGTCTGCATGGCAACAGAGGACAGGACGACGTCCAAGACGGACACCTAAAATCCCTCTCTCTCTCTCTCCCTCCCATTTTCTCCCTATTTCCTCCCTTGTTGATCTATAGGTCGTCAAAGTTTGCCAGCGGGTCATCCAGAACTACCTTGTGGCGGTCAATGACATTCTCGTCCTTATCATCGGCCGCCTCATCATCATTCTCGGCAACGAATACGTAGTCAGTCTGCGCATTGTTGGCCTCACGCTCGTCGGTGGAACGGAAGTCACGCGGAATGATCTCATCCTTCACGAGAGCTCGCACCTCTGCAGGCGTGTAGCGGTGAAGAACATCCACGATGTCGTTGGTGTTGAATGAACGCTTCGAAATCAGCACAACATCTCCCTGAGCGATCCACACTTTCCGCACCATCGCCCCACGAATGGCGCCTATTGCCTTGCTACCGTCAGCCAGCTGAAGCTCAAGTCGAAGGTTCCCCAACGCCTTTTTAACCTGCGCGTACTCCTCGTCCTCTTGGGCATCTGCGTAGACAATATCACGCTTCTGGTTCTGCATTATTCCCTTGGCATTACCTGCCTTGAAGGACTTGCCTCCCTTTCCCATATTCTTGGGCATCTTGGCGGTGAATGTAGCTGGCGGGGTGGTTAAAACGAAATTAGACGAGCTTCTCTAGCAAGCTTGTGGAGTGAATTCTAAGACAAGAATAGGGGGCGGAGGTACAAAACAAACGAGGGGGCACCAACAACAGCCACAAGAAAACATCCCATCACAATGAAAAATTGACGTCTACCAGGAGAGAGCAGATTAGCAAGATTGCACACCCACTATGCGCGAGAGTTCCTCACGCTCCCGCGCTAGGGCCTCCCGCTGCACGTTGTCAATGGCGAGACCAGAGAGGTCCAACGACGATTCCTTCTGCTGCGCAATAAACGAGAAACATGTTGCCTTCTCCAAGGCAGCCCCCAGTCGCTCGGAGGCTGACGCCAGAGCATCCGTCATGGCGTCCAAGTCGCTCCTTTCGCTTTCTGTTGCTGTATGAAAGGCAGCCAACGTGTTACCATCACCCACTTCGTCGAGGAAAAATGATTGCGGGTGGTCTTTCAACTCAGTTCGCAGACGTTGCAACTCCAGCCCCTGTGCTTTGTGCGTGGTGAGAAGTACCTGCAGGCGCCGCTCCATATATTGATAAGGCCGCACCCATTCCTCCAATCTGACCGCCGTGTTCTGTATTTCCTGGCGGGCGTTCTGCATGACGTGATCCAGCCGGCCCGACTTCAGGCGCAGTGTGGTGCCGGCGAACAGCTCCTGCAGCGTTCGGCGCAATTGTTCCAGGTCCATTGCCGTCCACAGCACCGGCACACAAGAGGGAACTGTCGATGGCACAAGAAAAAAACAAAGACGAGAGAAAAGCAACAGAAGAGACAAGCACGCAAGTAATGTCAAGGAAGCGAACACACACACACACACACACAGAGAGAGAGGGAGAGAAAAACACCAGTACTCGCAAATACAAAAAGAGGCGAGAGGAAGTCAATATTGCACACCACTCCAAACTTGTACAAGAAAATGAAACAACCAAAATAAGCAACACACAGGAGCATACGACAGAGACCATCACCACCTATTCTGCAGTGATTTTCAGTTTACTGTCCATATATTTATATATACGCCGCTCCCGTGAGAACGCCCCAGTGTGGTACCAAAAGCCGCAGCACAATTCAACGGCAACTTCGGAGATGTGAATTTTGAGCCTCCATCTGATTGGCATAGACGAGCCGACGCAATTCGTCGTGGGACCATGGAATGACGTGAGCCTGTGGCGACGCTGCTACGAAGGGGAGCCCCACCGGTTGGGACGGTGCCGGTGATACAACGGTGAATCCTGTTGACCTAGGAGACGGTAATGGCAATGGCGGCAGTTGGTGTATCATCTCCCGGGGCGTTTGATTTGACGCGTCTGACAAAGCCTTTGAATATACCTGTTGTCTGCTCTTTGATCGTGGGGTCTTGTCCAAGTTGAAATGTGTATCCGGCAGATATTTCCAATTATACTCGCATGTTTGGAGGTTGTACTGTGTAGGTTTGCCACAGACCTCCTCTTTTTTTCGAAGCGGCATCGCCCTAATATCTCACATATGCCGATCTATTGGCTGTTTTGTTGCCAGCGCTAAGCCGCAGCAACTGTATGGATGTGTGACTACGCTGCAGAGGGACTTTCTCCTCACCCCCCTCTCTTCTTCTTCTTCTCCTCCTCCTCCAGCCGAGAGTCAAAGAAAAAAAGGCACTGTGAAGGCAGATGGAAGAATATTTATCTTATTTAAACACCAGGAACACATCTAAATGCAAAAAAAAAAATAGAGGATGAACTACTCCATTCACCAAAAAAACGCAGCTTGCTTCTCGCCGAGCTGCCGCCTCAAGCAGCAACTCGAGCCATCACGCCCTTCGAAGCGGCTCCGGCCCAGCCCCATCGGGTGCCGGCTCGCCGCCCTCTCCTGCTGCAGCAAACGTGTCGTCTTCGAGGTCCAAGTCCTCAAAGTCGCCGGTGTTGGCAAGCATTTCGTTGTGCCACTCCTCCTCTTCCTTCTCCGTCCAGAGCGGATCGACATCGCTAGGGTGCGGCACATTGCGCACTCCCCAGAAGCGCAGCTTCGCGTGACGCAAACGCCACCAGTGATGAAACTCTTCCGTTTTGAATTTACTCGCCCAACGGTCAAACGCCATCTGCATATGTGGCGGCCGTTGGATACCCTTCTCCGTCTCAACAATACGCGGCGGCAGAAAGAAGCGCTCGGGGCCAGCTGTATAGTCCTCACCCTTGTGATTGTCGCTAAGGTCACGGTTCTTGTACTCTACAAAGTACATGGCCACACCATCAGAGCGACGACGACTCTTAAGACGCGTCATCATGGCATACTTGCCGTGCATATCCTTAAAGCGGCGCGGGTACTCATCAAACGCCTTGTCAACCATCAGCGGATCGTGCAGGAAGTACGCAAGGTGCTGACGCGAGTCCGTATCGCCTGCCTTGGCGAGCTCCACCACGTGGTCAGCCAGGATGCGCAGTGCGGGAGCGCGAGCACCGCCAACAATACAGTAATCCTTCCGTATCATCTCCGTCACCATGCGGCGGGCGATCTGCTGCCGATGGAAAGGACTGCGCGCACGGAACTTCGGAAGCTGGCCTCTCTGCCAGCCATAGTCGGCCATAAGTGGTTCACTCGTGTCCCACGGCTTGTAGGTGATCGTCGGGTTGTCATCGATATTGGCGAAGCGTGCCTTCCGAGTTTGCCCAATCACCGGAGGCGCCCTGCCGGCAGTCAGGCGAGTGCGCCGCAGCATGGACTACTATTACTTTCGTGTGTTTCCTATAGCTTATCCTTCCAGTGAGAGTGGCAACAAAATTGCCGTTCCCTACAACAATAACAGGGGCAACAGGAAGCATTTGCGGCGGCGTGTGGCAACCAGGCGCCACAACAAGGGGAGGGAGCAAACGCTTATCACTTGCCGATGCAAAACCACCAACGCGGCAGAACGATCAAAACGCAATTACGAAACAAAGAGAAAAATATTCATGTAGCAATATAAAGAAAGAGAGTTTTTTTTTTTTTGTTCTTGTGGGGGGAAAATGGCAGCGGCTACGTATCATTGGCCCTTGTCACACGCTCACTTACCTTGTCCGCTAGGCGGCTCAGCAGCCTTTCCATTTTGTCACCCATCTGCACGTGGAGGATGTGCGGCAGCATCTTCTCAGATATCCCGAGCCAGTTGAGGATCACATCAAT